TGGAGGGGGGGGGGGGGGGTTGGTTTTGGGGTGGTTTCCTCTAGTTTTTCCTTTAAATTGCAAGAGATTCAGAGTTAAAGGGGGTGGTGAGGCTAGTTTAAGAATGGGGAGAACACCCTTTGTTGTTTAGAAAAAAATTGGATTTAAAGATGTATTTGATAAAAATTATAGTTAAAGTTTAATTATAAAAAAATAAATATAAAATGTTTAGATAAAATATTTGAAGTTTTTTAAGAAAAATAAAAAAAGATTAGTAAAAAATAATTAAGAATCTCAATTAAAAAAAAATTAAAATTACAATATAAAATCAAGTATTAAACTTATTTTGCAGTATAAAACTTTATTTTCTTTAATACCAAACATGTTGCCATGTTTAATTTATTATTAACGTGAAAACTACTTGATAACAAACATAGCCTTAAATGTGATTAAAAGCTTGTTTAATAATATGGTTAGGGTTAATTTTCAAATAATTTTTTGTGCTGAAATACTTTGTCAAAAATATTTTTTTATTTTTTAAAATTTATTTTTAATATCAGCATATTAAAATGATTTAAAATATATAAAATATTTTAAATTTTAATAAAAAAAATTTTAAATTTTTAAAAGATATAATTTGCACTGTGTTTTTAAATAATGTATTAAAAGGAGATGAAAAGAAGAAAAGTAAAGACAGCCAGAGAGAAGCAAAGGAAGAAGGAGAGAGCAAGAAAATCATGGTGGCTTGTGATGAAGGTGGCCGTCCAAACTAAGAAAAAAATCGGGGAGTTCTTTAAATTGAATCAGTGATGTAAACAGTATTTGATTTGAGTTACGATGGTATAAGTTTGTGGTGCTAGCTTCATAAATTGTGAGAATTTTATAAGTAATTGTTTTGTGAATAAAATGATTGAAATATTATAGTACATGAGAGCCTTTAATAGCTAGATCATAAAATAGAGTAGCTGCTGGAACATCACGCACGATTGCTTTTATATTTTAACACATTGAATTATTAATTATTATAATAAAATTATATAAATTATATCTTCAAATTTTATTTAATATTTTAAAATTTTAAATTAAATTAATTTTTTGATATCATATTTAATATAAATTCATATAAATTTCAAGTGTGAGAAACTTAATTAAAAATATAAGTTAATGAATAATATAATCATATCTGAGTTTTATTTCATTGTTTGACAAATAGTGATGGTTTGGGATGGGAAGCAGGAAATTAATCCTGGAAGGTGTCATTTACAGGGAAGTGACTCATGTTTCAGGATATGGCCGGAGGGAAATGCTCTCCAAGCTCGACCTTTTGAACTGAAGAAAGGAAGAATTCAACAGCAATCAAGGGGACGCATTTTCCATCGACACCATAAAGGAGAAGTTGGCCAAACCCTACATTAAACATCTCAGAAAGATTTCATACTTCATATATATATATATATATATATATATATATATATATAACACAACTTAAAAGTTTGAAACTGTCAAATACCACTGCAATTTATCACAAACTGCAGCAAGAGGATACCAATCCAAAGGCTTCCTTCACATAGGATATGTCTCACATTCCAAAGGCTTCCTTCCCATAGGAGATGTCTCACGTGCTGACATAGAGATCTCAAGGACCAAAGAGTCTCCTGATTCCTGCCTTCTGCTCTGCATTAACCCTTGTTGGGAACCTGATGTCAAACTTGATTTTCAAAATCCCTCTCTTTGTTGGGTCGCCGAGGATCGGCATCCCTTCATTCGGGACGAACTTCTGATAGTTGGGATGGATCACATCATTGATCGGAAGGGTTAAATTCCTGCCATCTAAGGTAATAATACGGACAGTGTAGCCTGTAAAGGCTTCGGTTACAGAAATCCTTCGAGTGACGATCAAGTCATTTCCATCACGAGTAAACTCAGAGTGGGGTTTTTCATCAACAATGAAGACAACATCAGCAGGTGTTACATTTGGTCTTTTGTTCCCTTTCTCTTCGAAAGTGATCTTCGTGCCTTTCTTCCAACCAGGCTTTGTGCAATGGTTAGAATCTCCTCCATTTTCCTGGTCAAGCTGCGCTCCATCCCACAAAAAAGAAAGAGCACAAGAAACATCATTAACAAAGCTCTTGGACCTTTCAGTAGACTGTAAAATGATAAAAAAAAATAACTATCTCACACAAATCTTTGACAACAAGCAAGCATATCAAGCCCAGGACCAGTTGATCAGAGTCAACATGTTTGATCAAAACTACAGAATGGTAGTTGACCATAAAAAAGGACAAAAAAGGTGATGTCTAGGACACTTACCCACTTCGACCAGCCACTAGTCTAGTTATTTTTACCCTCTTGGTAGCCCCTTGATAAAGCTCTTCAAGACTACAAGACAGGGTGTGCTTGATTGCAGGATCTTTAGCACTAACCCCGAAACGTTGTGCAAAAGATCTAACGATGTCATCATCACCACCATATACGTTATTGGAGAAGACTGTTCCACTCCAGTTTTGATTTTGGCTACTATCAGTGGAGAACATCGTTCCTCTCCAGTTTTGATCTGGGCTATTATTAGTAAAGAACATTTTTCCTCGATAGAATCTTGATGAGAGAGGAAGGCAAAGAGACTTCTTGCAGCTCAGTGTCACGCAACAGCTCTCCTTGAAAGTAACTGTCCTATGCTTTTAGTTGTAGGAAAATTGAAGGACAGTGAATGGCTTACAAATAAAGGCATACCTTAAAGCCGAAGTTGTTGGACTCTGTGGAAATTAAGCTGTGAAATGAATTTTATACCATTCTCCCTCACAATCTATGCTCAACTTTTTCTTCAATTAATTTATTTAATTAGAAGATGAAGAGGGTAAGATTAATAAGACTCCTCGTCGTTTTTATTAGTAAAATCTTGATATGATGTTAATAATATCTAAACTTAAAATCCCAGAGTGTAGAATAAAAATTCTAGAATGATTTTTATATTAATCACTAATGATTTTAAAGATTTACGCATAAAGATTAGATAACAAAGTTGATGGTTTGGATAAAAACTTTTTGATACTATATTATAATGTATTCAGAGTAATAAAAATGGACTTAAGCGAAAAACAAAGAGAGTAAAAGGACTGCATTAACAAAATTTCAAGATTAAAGGGTGAAATGTACGATTAAACAGGAGTTTCACTTTTGGGAAATTGTAAGTAACTTACATAAACCCCAAAACTACAGTTTCAGGTACCAAAAATAAAGCTATTTGAGATTATTATGCACAAAATGGATAGCCAACTTTAAGAACACTAAACCTATTAAATTATAAATAAAATATTATAAAAATAGACAATCCTGATAATGTTATAATGAAGCCCAAAGAGGTTAGAAATCCTAGCATTGCAGGCAATATGAGTGCATTTTATATTTTTAGCAGTGCCTTGATTTTCTGCTCAAATTCCGTGTGCTTTGATGCTTGTTTGTTCTTAATTTTTATCAGGGGCTGAGCATTACATGGTAAAGCTCCATGGAAAAACGACAGTCCTTGCTTAAAATGCTAACTGAAAATGTTGAAATTCTTAAAGGGCAGCATAAGATAAAGTTAATTAGATAGTGTTTGATTATTATATCAAGACAAAACAAACGACATGTTTTTTTGTGATAATTTCAAATTAAGTTAGGATAGATATGACATTTTATATTGTATTTTTTATCTTAAAAACACATAAATTTACTTAAAACTATACTAAAAATATATTTATTTTATGTTTTTGTCTTAATTTCTTCAATCAGACACATTTTTATCTCTTTATCCTCTTTTTTTTCTTTAATTTTGAAACACTAACCACACAACCTAACAGGTAATAGTGTGATTTCTTGTTTTTTTCCCGCTTGCAATGATATTCATTGTTGGAATACTTTAAGTTGTTTTAAAACTGGCACGATCTAGTATCTTAAAAACAATTTATTCCTGAGGTGCTAACAATATAATTGCAATTTTTTTTTCAAATATATTGAATCTCTTATTATTAATATCATAATAAAGAATATTTATATGTTATTTAAAGTAGAGAGTGATTTTAAGACCACATTTGAAAATATAAGTCGTGTTT